TTTCATCAAGATGTTAACACACTATTGAGAGACGACTAAATATGAATATGCATTGCATTCTCCTAGTACTCTTTCCAAATACCCCTAACTTCTTTCATATTGAATATTAAAGAGGTCAGAATAATCGGCGTGTTGAAGATTGGGAGGATTGAATATTACTTCTTTCAGAGAATTGAAAATAGACATGGCGTACGTTTTGGTCACAACACTCTTTGCACCAGGAAGTACTGTGCCCGGATGCTCGGGCGGTGCCCATTTGTCAAATTTGGTGGTCGGCCAGCTGGCACGGGCACATCCTCTTTGCACAGTGCAACTTTCGCTGTCGCCTTTCTCATATCTCCCCCACCCCACCCCACTCCATCTCACCTCGCTCTCTACAGTTCATCCACGAGCAACTCATTGACACTGTCGAGAGCATTCCTTGATCTTTGAAAAAATTCTATTTGTACACTAGTTTCGTACTAATTGTGACAACTCTCATAACAGTATTGTTAATGTGAGGGGCATTCGGCAGCGAAATGATGAAATTAACACAGTTGCTGCACATTACTCCTCTGTCTTGCAAGAGAAATTTGAAACAAATTTTGATAATAATAATAATACAATACCTTGACAACTATTTAGAGTGTTCGTAATATTCTTAAGTATATGTAAAAAATAGAATGATTGCGTTAAATCTTTAGTGATATGTTGAAAATAGTGTTCTCTACTGGTTTAACAATTGAAATCATAAATATCAGTTATTGAATGGTTGCCAACTGACAAAATACAATCAATTCGACGCGGTTATGGAAATTCACAGTAAGAACTTCATTTAATTTTATTGGAAAAGTAGGGGAGAAGATTAAGCAAATTTAATCTTAACTGTTTTTCTGCGTTACTGTGATTCTATTCGTGCACCGTATGATCATACTAATTCCCAAGAAAAGGTATGAGAGGCAATTCTACAAACTTTAATAATGATTCAAAACTAATAACAAACTCACTGTATCAGAAAATAAACGAAATCCGATCTCCTTATCAGTCATCAAACCCCTCTTAGAAGACTTAGAAATATCAAATACGTCGTCTGCTCCAAGGACATTTTTAATTCCAAACATGAGTGCTATTAATTATGAAGTTCTGCATAAAAGAAAATCCATTCAAGTTTTCGTCTAAAATATTGAATTCTAAACCGCTCATCAGTTTTACTCCCTTGTGCCCGACCTATTTTTGCTTTCCCACAACCACACGAGTGACGCAGGCGAACACTGATCGCCCCTCGCGTGCACTCGTTGCCATTGCAAGGTGGCATTAAGATCCACCGAAGTTACGATCCCTTCGCGCGTCATACGATAAAACAGTTGTGCGTCGGCGAGGCGGTTACGCAAAGTTCCTGGCATCGACGGCGGCGTGGGCTTGAGCGACGTCGGCGCACAATCCCCGCGCGCGCCGAATGGCCAAGCAGGCGGAAGGAAAAGTCGAGCGCGAGTGCAGGAGGTGGTCGCTGCGGGGAACCCCCGGATGCAGGCGTCGACCGCGGAGATCATGGCGGAAAAACCAACGCGGTTACGGATCGATCGTCGGATTGAAATTCCTACTTCACCTAGATTTGGTATAAGTTCATTTATGGTTTATGTGGTAGATTTGAATATTTATTACTGGAAATTGAAATTTATATTCCACTACTGGACTCGGCAATGCTTCGCTGTTGCAGTGTATTACATATCACACACTATTGGCCACGTGATTGTTAATCACGATTGACGCTACGCTGTGCAAAAATTCTAATATGTAAAATACTTTCTTGCAAGTATGGGATAGTTCTACGTCCTGGTTTGAACATGGTTATCAAAAACCCTACGGTTAAAACGTTATCCCTCAAAGCGTTCGCTATGACACTATCTTTAAAGAACGTTATTTATTTGTCCCAGATACAAGTAATAATTCCGGCCAACATTTCACAATCGCAGGGGCAGAATACTTGTATATCGTGAAGACGCGCTTTTTCCTTGACTGTGCGGCGTGTTGCGTAGAGTTCAGGGGCGCTTTAGTCACCATAAACGAATATATCAGCATCAACAACTGTACCATAGGTCCGATTTAATTCAAATTACTCTTTAAACACTTCCAGTACCAATTGGAATAAATTCTGAAAATTTCAACTAAATCGGTCGAGTAGTTTTTGCATCTATGTGCATCCTTCGTATATAGATGTAAATTTACGTACTTCTTGCCTACATGACTAATTTCTAATGTACTCAGAAATTGGAAGAAAACTGTGCAGCCTCCGGCCAGAGCGCGGAGTCGGTAGCTTATAACTTGCGGACAGAAGTGTCGGTAGCTTTATAACTTGCGGACAGAAGTGTCTTTATCACTTGCACATTCAATAAATGTCTTGCCCATCGAGATCCAGCAGTGAGTTTGATTATATTGCAAGCAAAAGCCACGTATAATTTAAAATTTCAAATACATCAAGCAGCTGCGGTTGTGTATGTGCTAGCGTATCCCTGATAAAACCTTCGTGGACCGGCAGGTCTCAGGTACGAGACCCAACACTGCCAGGATTTTGGTATTAACTAAATACAGCTGGGTCGACGACTACGTGAACAAGCATCCAAAATCAGGAATTTCTACACCAACTTGCCAGCTAGGTCGAACTTGGTCGCTGTGTGGAAGAGTATTCTAGCGATAGTTTTCAGTGGTTTCTCCGATCAACACCAGGCGAATCCGAAGCAGTACTCTTACAAACGGGCCACGGACCGCGCGCGATCTTTCCTACCCCTTGTCCTATCTTCACCCCTTACACACACTTACCCAAAGATGCACTACACTCCCACACAAGCCGGGAGACAGGTCGGAAGCTTAGAGCTTGTCCCAGCTCGGGCGGTGCTCCTTGTTGGGAGATACCTGGTTGAGGAAATTCCCGCTAGCCGATGGTAGGTCGGCGCCGGATCTCAACATACAGCGGGGGAAGACCTCCGTCACCGCCAGAGCATAAACATGAACTACACTTACGGGACTAACGACCCAAGTAATCGAAGTTCCCGGAATCACTAACAATCAATCACTCAGTTAATGATATCAACAAAATACAGAAGAAAACTTAAACATAAATAAAATCCATTTATGACTGAAGTGTGAGACGAGTAATGGAGTGCAAATTGTTAATTTCATTTCGTAAAAACAATATTAGGAGGAGATATATTAAAACAATGAAATTGTGGGGAGATTTGACAAAGAGAGCGCAATACAAATAATGCGTTCGGTTCATTGGTGAAAAAATAAAAAAAAAGAAATGTTCGCGCAATAACTGAGTTCTCATGCATTTTAATTTCCTTTTCGAATTTTCTATACGCGTCACCGAATATTTTCGTGCCTCTGAATGTCACAATATTAATTTATCACAATATTAATGTAATCATCACAGGAAACCATAATTAACCTTCGAACTTCGACCTCGAACTAGAATCTCCACCTCACAAATGTTACCGAAGCTGTTTCAGGACGATAAATGGGTTGCTGGCTCTTATTGTATTATTCACGGTCCTCCTCGTGATCTTATCACCACCCTAAACACCGATAAAATCACAAGAGATATTTTTACTTATCTTACTGATGATTGGGCTATTCATTCAAATTTGCGTCTTGACGTCTTCATTTAAGCACTATTTATTAGTGATTCATGCAATATTTGGCATAACATAACGGTGACAATGAAAACTGCATGTTTGTACGGACTCACCTCACTTTATGAAGACTAAACTATAATAATTATCACAAGGAAAGTAATAATATTACAATCGTCTGGAAAGTCAAAAGCTCACAATTCAGGTTGTGGCTTAATTAAGTTTATCAAATATTTTCCCCGCTTTCAACTAATATACATCAGTGTAGGATTAATGCAAAAAAGTCTGCATTTGAAGAATAAATAATCCACGTATTCATACGTGTTTATTGAAGGCGACACGACGAGGTACGTGATCTCTCATTGCAAAAGCAATTATCGCGATGCCTCAGCGACGACCAATCACACGTGGCGGACTATAGTCCGACTTATTTAGTAATGCACTTGATGTTAATCAGCTCTTACCCTTTCATCCAATCAGGAGCATATGTCGCGACAGTGATGTCACTATGGGGACGTTCAAGTTTCCGATTGGATGAAACCGTGAACAGCTGATTTACGTCAAGTGCACGGTTAAATAAATCATAGTATACCGAGTCTCAGAAGGGCGAGAAGATGGTGATTGACTGAGCATGTGCGGACTCCGCGATTCTCCCCCCCCCCGCCCGCTTCCTCCCGTCCCCGTTATCTAATAGAGAGCGCCGCGCGTGGCAGCATGGCCTTGGCTCAGCTGATCGCCCGCGGACGGGCGGACGTGCACGCCGCAAGGTCGAAGTGACGCTGCGCAGATCCACGCTCCCCCAGCCTTCCACAACCACCAGTCCTTGTGCAGCGTTACGGCTAATGGGGTTAATGACAGCGTTAAGTCGCGAGGTTCTCCCCGCCCCTCAGTAACCACACCGCCAAGGACACAGTCTAGGCCAGTTAGGTGCACGAAGCGACGTCCGTGAGACAAAACGATGTCTTTCATGAGAAGACCCGCTGATAGTGGATATTGCATGAAAGATTTTTGTCGTGACTGTATCTGCTAAAATGAGTATGTTTGTTTCAATATTGCTTACACGTATTACAGAGCAATTTATATACAATTTTTATATAGACGTAAACAACATACTTTTCCATCAAGTCTTCTTTTTTTGTGGTACCATCTGTTATTACCTCATATTTTAACTTTCACAAAATTGTGATTTTAGACTTTTTCGTCCACAAACAAAACATCGAAAATGTACAAATATCCAGCACATAACATCAATTTCAATACATCGATATTTAAAACATCAACGTTTTTAGAGATGATGTTTTGAAGTCATCGGCATCGATATGGCATATCCAATGTGCTGGGGGCGCGAAGAGAGGGAAGGAAACGAGAGGAGAGCGAGATGCTCGCACTCACTTGGCGTCGTCGTCGCCGAGGCCCAGCTCGTAGACGCGCGTGGCTCCCAGCTCCTCCAGGCGGCGGTCCACGTACTTCGCCACCTCGTTGTAGTGCTCGTACGTCTTGTTGCCCAGCCCGAACACCTGCGCACACACCAGCACCCCTCACTCATTTGCCTCAACTTCCGCCACAAAGAACATAAATATAAGTTTAAACAAATAAATACCACAACGACAGTCGATGTTGCGGACAAAGGTTGTTAACAACGATAGTCCGACATAAATTGTATAAAATGCACCCCTTACATGCACCACACTACCACACATAGTGGTCAAGGCCTGGAGCAAACTTCTCCCATCAAAGTACGTATTGTTAATTTTCGCTAACTTACAACATATTTCCATATGTGGTGTATTTTCATTATTATTGTGTTATTTCTGTATTTTATCATTACTGTAATTGTCATATTTCCGTCACCTTGTTGAACGCAATTACGTTCGGAGAATATGTTCCGCAATCGTAAAGAAATCCAAATTGTGACCGTATTGCGTCCAACAAGGTGATGGGAAGGAGACAATTATATATACCCACAAGGAGCGATAATCGCGCTCATGAAAACTGTTCGAAGAATTGGTTGTCTCGGTAGCTTAGTGGTTAGTGCAGCTGTGCGTAAATCAAAAGACCTGGCTTCGAATTCCGGCCGCGGGCAACCACTTCTTTGAACAAATTTATTTATTATTACTATTATAAATATAAAATTTTCAAATATCAGCAAATAGCTGTAAACATGCGTATTGTGATGAACCATAAGACCCTCACGTTTAATAATATATCAGTATTAATTATATTTATTCAATATTAGGTTGATACACATTAGTTTGAGCAAACAGAAGGGGGTAAAGCCATCACATATCAGGGTAATAGGTGTAAATAAACAAGCACGGGAAGGACGAACGCACACAGTGAGGCGACATATCGGAAGGGGCAAGCAAAGCCCCATGTAATAAAAATATATGTGTAGTAAGCGTAGCAATGTATAGTGGAACCGGGTCGGTCTTTTTTAACTGCTGATCACCGAGCTGTCAACAACAAATTTGGTATGTTGCGGTTATCATTAAATGGGACGCGTTGTGAGTGACATTTCAAATTTTAGTTAAGACAACGTCGAACGTAGGAGGGAAGCGAGATAGAATGTGATTATAATTATTATTTTCAGAGTTGTAATAGGAAGGTTGTAAATAAGACTGATGTCACCTAAATGTCCATTGAATTAAAAGCGGACATGTACAGGATCTTTAGTTTAACTCGCAAGCCATGTGTGGAAACACCACCTCTTGTTTGGCAATTTGGAAACCCATGATATACTTTTGGCATCCCTTTATCTTTTAGCGATCCATGGCCGCGTGCTGTCAGATTTTGGAGCGAAGGAATGTGTCTAATTTTAGTTGGAAGAAAGAGAAAGCAACGACTGGAGCGACTACATTGAAAAGAGCAAACGCTTGTCTCTTGGCAAATGGCAGTTAATACATTTACTGGACGGTCATTCTTTTATCATTTTAAAGAAATTATATTTTGTTATTTTTTATTAATTATTTTCAATAATTATTAATTAACAACAAATGTTTTATAGGTATTTTTAATAATTTTATCAATGCTTTCTTATTTACTTAATAATCATATTCAATAATAATAATAATAACACATTATTATATATAAACCATGAAGAGCTTGGCGGTAATGTTTCTCGAGTATCTTTTCGATTTCTCTCTGAGCCGACTTTAATTAAATAATAATTATTGTTAATAAATGTTACACTGCTAATAAATGATGTGTACTGTTAATAAATTTTTGAACAGTCATAACTTCCTTCCGCATCTTCAGTATTATAGTTTTGTTTCTTAAGCGTACTGGACAGAATCACATAAAGAAACGTTTTGTTTCGTGCTCATGACTCTGCTTAACCCTCCCCCTCCACCCACTCTGTGCAGCGCGAAATGCTTCGGGCGTGTGAGCCGCGTACCTGTCCGCCTAAGCCCTTGAATGGGGAAAAACTGAGAAATACGAAAGTTGCTGCAGTTTATGATCTGAAGGTCGCATCCTCTGCTGTCTCGACGTGCGAGACACGGCTGCCTTGAAAGGTGGCAAAAACACGCGTTGCCAAATTGCCAAAACAAGAACAAGTGTTCCAAGACATGGGTTGCGAGTTAAGCTGAATAATTACTCGAACGCTATTAGAAGTTGGGAAGAAGTCGTATTTTCATTCCTTGAACAGTAATTTGAATATTAGGCATTGTCGCGGTCAGTCGCCCACCCGAGGCGCAAAATAGGGAAGTTTCGCGTACGTGCAACAACTTGTAATAATTATTCAAAAACCGGGAAGAAATTGGCAGACTTGAGGATGACATTTTTAGTTAGTAATTGACATCGGGTAATATCGCGTTAAGCAGGGCGAAAGAATATACATCAACGCGGCAACCGAAGAGGGAAGACGTTATGGACACTGGGCATTTTTCATCCGGAATTCAGCCGAGAAGTTTTCGAATGCGCGCGAAGCTATGAAGTAAGCCACGAACATTAAGTTGAACTGTACAGCAGGGATAATTACCGAAATAACGGTTAACGTAATGAGCTTATTAACATTTGTTAATATTTGAATTATGGATATATTTTTCATTTATTGTCTGAATCAAGGCTGATAATTTGTAGTTAATTGCCATGAATCAAATAATCATTTAAACAAACAGATCTTCCAGGCTGATCTAAACAGACTTATCCTTGTCTGTGTGCGACAAGGACGTCGTATGTCGAAACCCACAAGTAAGAAAATATTAAAAGTAATGTTAATGAAATCTTTGATTACAAAAATAAGGACGGGAGCAGAGCAGGGAAATAGAATTACATAAATGAAGATATAAATATTGATAGCAAAGTTTTGTAAACGCATACATGGGATAGTGGAATACGAGAAAAGATCACATTAAATTAATGGACATTTGTCGGCATTATCAGGTTTATTTCAATGAGTGCCCAACATTTGGCCGTTTGTATAAAAAATATTGAAGGAAAGTTATAGTTTCCTACCTATTGCTGTCCAACGGGACAGATAGTATTAAACATATATGAATTTATAATCATTTCAGTATATTAAAATAATGAAATTGTTTATTGCATTTTCTCTGATCACTAGACGAGCAAGATGACCTGGAAAATCTCATATTTTTAATGACAACCGAGAATTAAATAAGGTCGGATTTTACAATACGTGGTAAGAAAGTATTGAATCAAAATCCAAGTGGTGTTTATATCTCGTTTCGGGAAAGCTCAAAACTGAAGATTTCCCAGCACAACACCAAATGAAATAAAATCGTGAATATCTCCTATAATAATATTTTGCTCCAAACTTTCGTTGCTACGTTTATTCATAATTTAATTTAGAATAGTAAAAGAGCGAGTGTTATAGATTCCGGATTCAAAAAATTGCACAGACTATACTTCCCCTCTATACGTAACATACACTTTTTAATTGTGAAATAAATAAAACGGTTCCGAAATCTGTTAAGCCCATTTTATATAGGTCTCGTTCTCATTTGAATTAACGCAATACGAACTCAGTTCAATGAGAAATTATAGCTTTGCTTCATCATTACAGCATGCAAATTCATGATGATTTAGGATTCTTTTATAAATGGTGATGTAGCCATCACCTGAAAAAATTAAATCAGTCGTGTCATTCTCCAATACATGTATGGGCTCGTTTCTTTTTCACGTGTCGTATGTGGAGTAAAGTAAGAAAACAATGAGCGGTAACAACTAGGTCACAGAACTGACACCAACAAATCAATAATATAGCGGTGTACATAATACAAGACGAAAAAATAGTTAGTTGCTCATTTGCATAAACTACAAGCAACAGCTCGTGCGCATAGTGCGTAATGTCTAGGCAGCAATTAAATTGATGGCTTCACAGTTTTATACGGGATATACAAGTGTTATGGCTAGGGAGTGGATTTCTAAGAGTTTGCATATTTTTGTCCGTTGCTTCAGGGCATAGCCAAGTAAAATTTCTTGACATTTGGTTACAATTGGATCCTATGTATATTAATAAGTTAGTATATTTTTGTGCATATTTGGCCGAAATTTCCTGTTGGTGCATATTCGTATAATTGGTGTAGCAGAATAATTTGCATTTTTCCTTAAAATAGAGACTTATCTCTGATACGTTTCGTTTTTACATGGAATATTTTTATTTCTGACCGTTCGAGGATTAGAAAGAGCTTGTCACAGTTTGTGGATTAAAAAAATCTATGGATAAAATACTTGTGCAAATGAAGGTTATTTCTTTATTCTCTTATATTTTCCTTCTATTCTTTTTAACTAAGCAGAAAAAGTAAAACACGACATCTACTTCCCTAAGGTGCGTATTTACTTTAATTATTTCTCCCGCAAAGTAAGCTAGGTTATATTATGTTTGTACACAAATATATATTTTTATCTTATATATTCAACATGTTTCTCCTGAATTTTATCAATAAACATTTACATAGGAAATGAAATATTTTTAATTTTAATTGCATATTAAAGAGTATATTTCAAAATTTTTAGGTAGAAAATGAATATTTTAAAAGCATATTTCAAGATTTTTTAGGGCATAAAAATCCTCTCCCGAATAATGGCAAAATTCAAATCCATAATTAAGTTTTACATAATGCACAATTTAACATATCCTGTAGGAATCCTACGTTAGACATTTTCCAAGAAGAACAAAACGAAGCGCCTTCAGAGACTTTGTCTGGCTCCACAATCGGAATATTTACATTTCGTGGATCACACTTTTGTTGTTGCATTTATTTATATACATACGCTTTTATGTTTTTTATTCTCTTGCTTCTCAGCGGGAACAAATTGTTTATTTTTATCCTCGAGTAGCGGTAAGTATTCTTATAAATACAGTTAAGAGCATTTCTTATTAAAAATTGTAAACTCAAGATGGTAAATATTTGAAAATTGCAAATTTGAACTTTCAAGGCTTCGTTTCCCAATACGGTGTTTCGCAAAATAGGTGAAGAACAAGCAGGATAGAATCTGCAATATTATAATACCACATCCGTTATAAATAATACGATAAATTTTGTGTTGTCGTAGA